ATATAATTAATACATTTGATTTGAAGATGATGAATACGAGAACAAATGTATTAATTATATGCATGCTCAATTATTAACAGGACTTATTTTGACAGAAATTAAGAATGTATCAAATTCTTTACTTCGATTATTATGTTTTTCTATTCCAAAAGCACATGATGAAATGTGCGAAAAATTAGAGAAAATGATTGATGATGAAAATTTACGTTTTGATTTTACGATTAAACATATTATGGATAAAATTTATTTACAATGGAACTAGTTAGTAGATCATATGTTGTAATTACTCTTGTTTGAAACTATTTAATAAAAACTTTTTTAACTTCACACTCAAATGTTTCTTATCATATTTCATTCTTTCTTTTAAATCAGATATTTGTATTCATTTTTAATATGTCGATAAGTTAGATTAAAATTTTATTGAATGAGTTTATCTATGAGGTATTTGAATATCTTGATGCTTGTAAAATATTTTAAGCATTTTCAAATCTTAATCATCGATTTCAACAACTAATGGACTATATATGAATATTTATAAACAACTTTTACTTAATTAATAATAACATCAAATAGTTTTATTTCATATATAGTTACCATTATAGACAAATGAATTTTACTCGTCGTTTTCAATTGATTCGTCATTTGTTATTATTGGAATTTCACCAAATGTAACTTGCTTATTTCTCATTACTAACTAATTTATCTTCTTTAGCTCGTTTTTTCTCATTAACAATCGCTATGGACTGGGCGTTAAGTGACTTAAGTGAACTTTATCAACTAATTTTTGCTTTACCTAAATTGAAATATATTAAATGTTCAGCAGATGGATTCTTCACATCTGGCCTATTGGCAATTGCTACCGATGAACAATTCCGTACTATTGAATATTTTGTTATTAATCATAATTGTACTTTAATATCTTATACACTTGAACTTTTTTGTTTAAGTTTGATGAATTTGAGATGTTCATTATAGAAATGGAATGTAATTTGAAAGTTTTACGTGCTATTACTTTCTTTGAAGATAAAGATTATCTTGATGGTGATCGATGTGAAAGATTAATTTCAGATTATTTGCCTGAAGTAGAAGAATTATATTTAGAGAATATCATCAACAAATCGACCACGAATCTGGATATCTAACAGATTTTTAACCTCTTGATCAATTTAATTCCTTACTTTAGTTTGAATGCTAATGGATATTCGAAGTTGAAACGAATTCTTTCGATGATGTTTATTCAATTCCTTCATATAAATACATTAAAAAGAAACTTTTATAATAGATAAATATATTTTTAGGGTGGGTGTGGGTGTTCTATTTTCTAGCTACACCCACACTCTCAATGCGTGGTTACCAATACAGCAATGGACAATCAGATCAGTCGAAGTGGAAATGGTTCCTGTTTAGGGAGGAATGCTTCACTCTATATAAAGTCATATATATCAAGAAGAAATCAGAAGAGAAAATAGTTCATTTCTTCTGATATAAATGGATTCAAGTAACACGGCTGTCGTTATTTTCTAGTTGACTTTGTTGGAGATAAATCATTTCTGCTCGAAACTGAATAATTTCCCTGTTTTGACAATACTATCTAGCTCTCTTGAATGAACATCGTTCTTAATATTTCTCAATAGTTTATTTTACATATTTCACAGATATCTCATGTACAGTTATTTTTGTGGAACGTTTTGTCGGAGATTTTCTTTTTCAAAAAGTTAAAAAGCATTTTGAAATAAAGTCTATAAAAGAATTAATTCTCGGAAATATTTTTCATCTGTATTAATTTTTATCATATTTCAACGACAACTGTACCAAAAACAACTCATACTCCAATTAATTATCAACAATTATCTAAGGCGAACATTTGCGATGCTAAAAAGCAAATACTTAAGGTAGCATATGTGTTTCTGTTGTTGCCTTGATTGACATGTAAATTGAAAACGATCTCGTTTAATCATGTTACTATTCACGCTATCGAGAGAGAAATTCATTTACAGATATCGATCAATTGAAAAATCGTTTTATTTAACAACTGACAAGTGAAAAATATTCATGCAAAAATGACGATATTTTTTTTATTCTAAACAATCTAGTTGAATTTTTTGATACAAATTACTGTTTTCGGAAATAATTCAATTATTTAATTTGTAATCAGATTTACATTCAAAATCGATTAAAATCTTAATGTCATCAAAGCTGATTCAGAGATCATCAAATGATCATATCATAAATAATTTAATGTTCAAGTTTTGCCCATAAAGATCTCAGCAAACACTGATGTTTTCATCTGGAAATATGAGCCTTTTAAAAAACCTAAGGTCGTCGAACACTGAGTAAATGAAATGTGGTTGGCGAAGAATGTTATTGTCTCAAAATGGAAACATGCATTTTAGCTGAGACCTTCGGCACATTGTAGTACCTCTGAGAGCTTTGTGAGCAAAACTTCAAATCAAAATTCCATCATTACATTTTGTATGATACATAAGGTGATCAAAAAGTTCTCGAAATTCGCTGTGTATTTTGTTCAAAGAACCCACATTTAGTCCGTTTCGCTATACTATATATTAGAGGTAGTAGTCATGATATTCCATGGAAAGTTTCGTCCTTTTAACTCACTCTTGAAGTATTCTTTCAAAATAAACAATAGGTATCAAATTGGTCTCCTTGGTTATTATCCCTCTTCCATTGCCACAGGTGCTGGTTGTCTAGGCTGTCTTGAACCCATCACCAACACCAAGAGTCTCAAAGCAGCCCTAACTCGATGCTGGTCACTTAGAAGTAGATAATGAGGTCACCATACATGTTGCTTAACAAATCACGAAAAAAACTGATGGGATCATAGACCATGATAATCCTTCGTTGTTGGCTAAATTCATTAATTATAAATTAAGGTATTTATTGCCAATATAGACAGTATTACTAGTCACTATAGAAACGATTAGTGGATAAGAAATAGCTCGCATATGTTCAAGAGTTGGGATATCTTATTGTTTGTAACAGCGTTAAGAATTAATGCCGCTTGAAGGATGAGTTTCACCTCAAAGCCCAAGTTTCGTCAGTGATTTTGATTGAAAGTGGTGGCCATGGCAAATCGGGATCTGTTAACCACTATTAGTATCATATAAAATTTGGTCGCGATCTAGAAATCTGTAAAAATTTTTTTAAGATCGAAATATCTGGTGGAATCCAGCAATAACCTGAGAAACAAATCGTTTACCTCGAAACAGCACCTCAAGATTAAGTTAAAAGGATGAAAGTTCTCGTGGCATATCACAACCACTGCCTCTAATATATAGCATAGCGAAATGGACGAAATATCGTTTTCCTAAAAAAAAACAGAGTGCAATCCGAGAACTTTTTGATCACCCTATGTGCATCTTTAAAGGTAAGACGACTGAACGAGATGTTGAGCGTGCTCATGAGCATTCCATGTGCGAAGTGACAGCTCAATTGCATTGATCATTATAACCATGTTTGAATGAATACTGTGGATCTTCCTCTTTGTCTCCTTTGATAAAGATTATAGCAGGTCTACTTTTTTAGTGCATAAATTCCAATACCACAACGCTTTAGCACATTAACATAGGGTACACAATCATGAAAAATAGAGATTAAATGCACTTATGCAGACAAATTGCTTATTTAGATTCATCTTAACTGAACATCTTGTTAGCGCTTTGATCGGATTGGTGAATTTGGGCGGAATAAAGACACAATGATTACTGTGGACTATAAAAGCAACCTCAGTGTTCAGTTTGTTTTGTAATGATATAAGAATTGCAGAGAGAGAGATGGATTATTCAATAATTACTCGATTAGAAGATTTATTTGTCATTCTCTCAATTAAATAATCGTCTTAATTTAATTCTCAAATCATTACCCAACTTGGTCCTTGTAATACACGAACATTTAGATCCTTCTGTTCTTTCTTTCTTCTCCTCATTTAATAAAATTCTCGTCAAGTTTCATAGGGAACATATCCATTGTAATTGTCAATTCCATCCTATAAACGGTGGTAATCGTTTATATGAAATTTACTCGACATGGGATGACGAATGGTATCCTCATTATTCTAATGAAATTGAAAATATTATTCGTCCTAATATTTATTCTCGATTGCAATCATTAGTTTTACCAGCTACTTCACCTAAATTGACACAACTCATATTTCGTGGTGAATTTTCTCGTTTGAAAATATGTCATCTTGGTAGATGCGAACCAATCATTTTTTCATTATCAATGACTATTCAACAGCTAAATCTTCGTCAATTAACCGTACGAGAACAAAATGGTCATGAATTAGAAAGAATTTTATTGGCTTGTTCTTCTTTAGTGTATCTTGATTTCTCATGTGATGATGTTATTCCTCCATTTGTTATCAGAAACCGTAGTTTTCCATCTATGAAATATCTTCGACTTGGTCGACTTCAAAAATTTTTTTTCACAATGGAGAATTCGATTTTCTTCTCTCAATCTTTCCAAATCTTTCACAATTTCATTTAACTGTTGATCAATGTCATGAAAATGTTGAAACCATCCAACTTAGAGAAATTGCGCATTATTTACGTCATCGATGTCCATTACTGAAAATATTATTTTTATATATTTATATGGAAGAAGATATGTGTTGATCTTCTTCTATCGGTAGTTTCAGGGAAATTACCGAGATGCATTCTCGTTTCAATTATGTCGATAGATGTCAAACGCGTCTAATAAATAAGTTCACATGGTTTTATTCATCATCAAATCTACTCGTATCGATATGTTCGTCCTTCATGCAGATGATCATATTCAAATGGTAGATATCTATATTTGGCTTATTCATTTTTGAATATTTCATTTACATGTCATTCGTATGTATTCTTTTCTGATTCTATTAAAATCGAGAACTAGATATTTCTTAAAGTTTGGAACCTTTATCTTATCTAAACGCATTATTAAATATAATTTAATAAAAACTTCTATGAAATAGAGATTATAATTAATCGAATTTCTTACTAATCGAAGTATTGACGCGTAATTCATATCTTCTTAAACGTCGATCAGATTTTAATTGTTGATAAAAATAAAAAGTTTATCGAATAAATATGTTAATCATATTTCAAGAAAATAACAAAATCTTATAAAACCGAGAAATTGTTCTGTTCTCAGCAGAAATGCTTCACTCTGTACAAAGTCAAGAAGAAATGCTTTTATTAAAACAACATCAGTCGTTATTTCAAGCCATTTACCTAAAAAAAAAATGAGTTATTCAAATAAGAAATGCCTCATCTATTTCTACCTTCATAAGTTAGAATCTAAAGCACATAGAGAAATATCAATCATTGAGTAAAAATATCAAATATTTCTTTGTTCGTATTTTTTCATTTAAGACAAATACCATAAATAATATTAAAGGGATGTTGTTTTCTACTTTAACTTATTTCTGTTTGTTACTTGACAATTTTCGTTGCAAATGGAATAGTCGAACTAATTTCTGCGTTAATTGTTCGAAGCTCGATGAGTTTCATCAAAAAAACAAACATGCAGAAACCTGGCCTGAAACTGGCTTTCAGTTAAATGATAGCATATAAGTTCGTATCATCACGTTTAAATGTGTTTAAATCTTGGGTCATTACTGAACCCGTTATTCTTATCTTTAGGGTAGTGCAGATCCTACTTTGTTATAATAAGCATGAACAAAAGATAATTCACAGAACTAGCTCAAAGCCAGCAAAATGGCGAGAAGTCATGAATAAACATTGAGTTCAAGAATAATGTCACGACAGTTTTCTGCGTGTTTTTTTTTGTTGTTGAAACTCATCGAACTTCGAACAATTAACGCAGAAATTAGTTCGACTGTTCCATTTGTAACGAAGATTGTCAAGTAACAAACAGAAATAAGTTAAAGTAGAAAACAACATTACTTTAATAATTAAAAAGTATAGTATCAATATTTTGCACAAAGCCTTAGTTGAAAAGTTCAACATGTTGAACTAATGTTTTGTATTGAGTACCACTAAACTATGGAGTATGCTTTCATTAATAGAAATATATAATTTTATAGAGAATTGAATGGCGAATCTTTTGGTTAAAAAATAATCAATTCCGAAATACTGAGAACTGGATGAGATATTGGCAAAGCACTGACGCTGCCACTTATTCTAGGCCACCCGTTATTAATTAAATTACTGTTGAACAGTCCTGTACTCGTAATAATAATAGAAGTTCTGTTTCATCTATATCAAATACTTTCTTCACTTGTCTTTTGTAGACAATCTAAAAAACTAAATATCGATTGTCAATTTGTTATAGTTTAACAAGTTCAAATCAGAAGACACTTCAATCTTGAACTTTTGCTTCTTAAATTATTTGAAAAAAAATTGATCATATCAAAAAGTTAACCAAACCCGATTTTTATTTATGATTTACTTACAGGCATTTAATAAACATACGTCCTTCCCTGAAGATGATGGTGCCACTGAAATCTTTATCGCATACACTTTAGCATGCATCTTTTTGCTGAGGGTGTTCAGAAATCGTGATTCCATATGAAAAACACATTCCGTGCTGGAGGAGTCGCGAATGAAAAATTCAAAGATTTTCATCCAAATTCTATCAATTTCATGCAGCAATGAATCTATTTTTCATGTGAAATCACGATTTTCGAGCACTCTCAGCAGAGATATATGTGCTGATACGTGTGTGATAAAGATTGCTGTGGCACCCTCACCCTCATCCTAAATAGAAGTTGACAGTAGTCAAAAAATAAAATATTAGACGTTACATTGATATAGAATGATATGACATATATCAGCTGCTGATGTAATCTTTGAAGGATCATTGATCATATCCATCAAGAATCTCGCAGTGAAGTATCAAAGATTCTCTTTAGGGATAGAGATTTTCATAAAAAGAAAAATAGACATATGTATGATAATGAGTGCACTAATATAGCATGGATAGTTTTTGTGACGCACTGATATAAACCATTAAAGTTACTTTTTCGCTCTAAGTCGTTGTTTTTCTTGTATTTCTTTTTATTAAAAATTCAAAGTATTGTACAATATCCTCCACACTCTGTACAGTACGTATCTATTTGATTACAACAGCCTTCTCTTTGTACACGACAGTCAATACATACATATCGACCGCAACTACAACATCTATCGACAGCCAATACGTTTGTATGCAACCCACATCGAGGAGCCTTAAGAAATAACATGTACAAAAAATGAGTAATCTACTATAATTGACTCACCACTGGAGCAGATTCAACCAGGGATCGATAATTTGTTCCTATTGGTCGTATTGTATTCTGATGTAATGGAGATGGTTTCAGTCTTAAAATTTGTATACGGCTATATAAAAAAAAACTCTTTTTTTTTGCTTGAATATTGCCGCAAACATGTAACTTACTGTCCGGCTTTCTCGATACCCATCGATCGAAGAATATCATCGTTCAAATCAGATATCATATTGGCGTTGATTTCATTGTTGACAAATATTGATGCATATTCTTTAGCTGTATTTTCATTAAACTTAAGTCCAATGAATTTCTTATACCATATTTCCCTAGTAAGTATAATAGATATATATCCTGTGAGAAATCATACTGTTTTTACCAGTTAGAATTGTTGAATACAGTATTATTTTCTACTTGAGAGTATGATGGTGGTGATATATCTGTGGAATCCATGGTTAGAGATATCTTGAGAAATTCGAAATTAACTTAGAAAGATATTTATAAAAGAGAAAAATGATTATCAACGCATGCTTCATATCAGTATAGGTGTATTACGCACGAAGAATTGACGTCAGAATGGCGTGATAAGAAAAAAAGCAAAAGATAGATATCAATGATGAATTAACCGAACAAATTACGCTACATAATAGAGTTACATGCTTGTAAAAGTGTCTTCACATTCGCAAAATGCAACAAAGATGTAATTCTTTTGAGAAGTAAAAAGTAAAAGTACAAGTATTTACAGATGTACTTGTACTTAAGGCCATCCCCTCAAAAAATGTCAATTTTCGTCAAAAATTGCGAAATTGAGATAAATGCATGGGAAGATAGCCCGTCTTCTACTCTTTCAGAAACGAAATTGTTTTTTACTTCGGCACCTCGTTTTTGGCCAAAATTTTCGATGATTTTCGTTAGCCTCTTCTCGAAAAATATGCTTATTTTTAAAAAGACGAAAAATTGTTTTCATTTTTTCTCGGTTTATGATTTTTTGATCTTCTAAAAAGGAATTCTCGGTCCAGGCTCTGTCAATATATTTAGTTTTTTTTTGTTTGAAAGAGCGCGTCGAAATGCAGGGCACCACAGAGTCCCTTTTTTTAATTAAGCTTTATTTTTTATTATATATACAGACATTTATGTAACTAGACACCCATTTTTGGCGCATTTTTTTAATCATTGAGTTTGTGATCACCTTTCTCCGCTAAAAAAGTAAGAATTTAAAAAAAAAGCTGTTAGCGCAATCCCTTGCGGGATTAAAAATGTGAAACACGATGTAGCTGCTATAGCCGGTGTTCAACAAGCTGTTGTTTTATGCATATTGGGTTACATTCCTTCATAAAGTTTACCTTACATTATAGACTTTGAACAGGATAATACTCTATATACGCTCCAATCATATCTTACTTATGCATCATCTCTGATATTTCCTTAAAGTGTTCTATCACAGTCTATAATGACCCCTGGACCCTGTCTGTCACGGTCTGTGACGGGTTCGGAGCCCTGTCTGTCACAGTCTGTAATGGGTCCAGAACCCTGTCTGTCACGGTCTGTGACGGGTCCAGAGCC